AAAGAAAAGACTAAGAAGTATGGAGCACTTAGACTTGAGCTGACAAAACAACACCCAGGATACAAGATCTCACAAGTAAACGTCATTATAGATGTACTTGGAGGATGGTCTAAAGCTATGGAAACTGAAATGAAGGGCATCTTTGGTACAAGATACAAAGAAATATTGCTGAGAATGCAGAAAGCTGTATTAAGTAGCACTCTGAACATTGCAAGAACATTTAAACTGGTTACATCGTAAGAATTTTAAGGACATTATAATTTGGTTTTTATGAACAGTATTTTAAGAAAATTTTAAGTTAAGGATATTTTAAGAGCTGAACAGTACATCATGAACATTAAAAAAAAAAGCATCTTAGTATTGGGCCAATTGACTCTTTTAATGTTTTATATTGAACATTTAGAAGCATTAGATATTATTATAGTTAACAGTCCTGTCATGCAGATAGGTTACGAATTTTCGCCCTATCTTGCTTAGCTCACTAGCATCCAAACGTGTATACTGCATCATAATAATGTTATAATGTTAGATTTTACTTCTATTTTATTCACTGATCAGCTCATGGGCTACGCTGCGGCACCTCATGTTGCTTTTAATGTATATGGCATACAGACGCTTTTACTGCATCATCACAATAAAAATTCCCTATTGGCTGACATGTATTACCTTTGTTTTGAGAATTAAAAGGTTTGTAGTCATGGTTCAGGTCATTCATTCAAGCTTGTGACAGGGCACATCTACACCATAGGGGTGATTGGGTTCTGTTTCCTCCCCACATTTACTGTCACCAAACTTGATTGATAACACTCTTATCATGATAACACAATTTTTGCCTTTCCACCCAACTAATAAGATAATCAATTTATAAAATTTGCGTCTGATTTTTCTCAGTAGTATACTCACATGGCATGGTCCTCAACTGTAACATTACCATCAGGCTGGGGGCTTCAGTCTTCCATTTGAACAACTTCTTTCATTTTCAGTTTCATAGGTTTTCTGGGCAAGGATTTTTCAAAAACCCACAGCTTTGACATTTTTCATATCTGCCAATAGCGTTTTCTTGTGTTAATGATAGAACCTTTACCTACTGATATGACAGACTCTATCTGAGAAAATGTTATTAAGGTATTTTATACACCGTGATAGTTTCGATATTACGACCATGACTGCATGCTATCGACACACTTAACTGCGTAATCCATAATATCTTTGTCAAGGTGTACAAAGTCTTAATTCATTTCAATTGAATGGAAAAGAAATGCCAGGTATTTTTTTCATTCCCTCGTTTTCATGAAGGAGCAGTTTTTCACTTAAGTTATTAGTTTCTTTACAAAGTTTCGTAATGTAAAGCCCCAAGAATATTGGTTTACGGATCAGTGCTCGTCTAAACGCTCCATTCCGAGAAATGTTGATACTTATTTACCGTATAAAAGGTAAACAAGGAGCTTATGCATAAAAGGTAAACAAGGAGCTTATGCAATTTCCCTATTGGCTGACAAGTCACCTATGTTTTGAGAATTACACATTTCGCCGGCCATGTTAGCTTTTCAGGTAAACCGATGCAAATTACAGTTAGATGGCACAACAGTGCCAGATTTGTTCGAAAACGATCAATGATGGTGTGAAATTGTGTCTTCGTCTCGTTCGGGAAAGCGAACAGCACCGACCAAAAAGAGTTTGAAAGCATGACTTGATCGAGGGGCCGGTTGGAACCATGAAAAGGAACGAATTAACCAATTGCGAAATTGTGTTTGACACCAAACCTTGTTATCAGATGTGATTGATTTCGGATGATAGTTTCGCGGACATCTTTCGAGAGAGTCTATGTTCAATCATCTTTTTGGACATTTGTTAAGGCGAACTTGATTAGCCGACTAACATGTGGAGCCTCGTGGCCCAGCAAAGCGGGAAGCCATGAATTCAGGGGGCTTAAGGAATGCTTTTAGAATCGTTCGGTGATAGATCAGGATATTTAAAGCCTTACACTTGAAAATCTCCACAAAGAAGAACATTTTGAAAGATGCTTTGGACTCAGACTTGTCATGCTCTAACAGTATCGGATACGAAAGCTTTTTGTTTTGATTACTGACGGTACTTGTGTAAATTACTTCACGTACTTACCCTTACCGAATGGACAGATATGTAAAGTATCTGCAACTATCTGTCTCATACATGTTACAATACTGTTTTTCAATGTCTGTAATGGTTTTATTCATATCTGCAGCATATCTGCAATTATGTTTGCAGATATTTCACAGATATGTTGGAACTTCTTTATTATCTGCAAAGTATCTGAGGAAATTGACGTATATTTAACATATATGTAGGCGATCAAACAGAGTGAGTTAGAAATCGAGGACCCATCTTTTGTCATCATATGCCAGTCATGATACTTGAATTTTCCCCTACTAGGAGACCATATTCGGCTAAATGCTGACCAAACATTGAGTGTCTAAACAACCGCACTTTTAAATAATTAACTTTGCATAACTACTAAGCCTGTTCGGTAGAGGTAAAGTTGAAATTTCCGATGACGATGTTGAGGAAGGCTCCTTGTGTGACGCATTCTGGGAGGATGCAAAATAGCAAAGGGCTGGTTCTTAGCAATAATTCTCGCTTTTGGTGGTAGGTAAAAGATAGTGAAAGACAAATCCCTCTCATGGATCGATTCTTCCATTAGGAAGCAAATGAACCAAAGATACAGACTATTGAAAGAAGCCAAGTCTATGGGAGGTCAAGACCATAGTTAATAGAGGGGACTGGTTATGAAGGCCGGCATATATGAAAGGGCCGGCCTATTGTTCGGCTCCTGAGGTTGAAACGTACCGTGACGTTACGCGAACGTGCACATGTTTGATTTGCACTACAAGGCAACATGGCGGATAGTAGTGAACTTTTTATTTTCGGAGACGATTTTGATACCATTTTAGACATTTTAGAAGAAGAAGAAGAGCTAGATGAATACTTTGAAGCTGCTGACGATGTAAGTAAGTACCCATGTCGGGTATTCTGTAATCTTTTTAATATCATATCTATTTGTAATAGGTCGAATTCGATGACCTAGTATGCGAACTGTGTTCCAAGAAGTGCAAAAGCAAGAGTGGGTTAAAGCGACACAAAACAGCGAAGCACGAAGACCAAAATAGTGCAGATTCGTCCGAAAAGCCAAGGGAAACGGAGCAGTTCACCTTCGAAATTTATTGTGAAATCATCCACAAAGCAAAAGCCAAAATAGTTGGATAGAAATTGTATCCAAGTTCGATTAGAGAGGAAATAAATAAATACTTACCAAACAAATCCAGCAAATGTAGGTATAAGCGAAATCAAAAACATGTATGGTCGCTTGGTCAAGTCTGGCAACGCGTAACGATTCTATACTTCCTTCTACTCTGCAGTAGTCTCAAATGCAGTAATTTATATTGAGGGGTTGTCTAGGGATGCTATGACATTGCTATCTATCAAAGTGGCAGATTTTATACTGGCTGGCAGCAAGGAGAAAGCCAGACTCTAGTATTTGTACTTGTGCACCATTAACTGAACTCTCAGCTAAAGAAGAAGCTGGACTACAGTACATAGGAGGATATGTTCTACATAGACTTCATAACAAACTGGCAAATAGTAAAAAATCACCGGAAATTGAGCAAGCAATCTCAATTCTTAAGGCTGGAAAGTCAGATGACCAGGCTGTTTCAGATAGCCAGAGGCTAACTTTATCTTTAAATCGTGGAGGCCTATGGACAATAACAAAGAATACCCAAACAATTTTTGAAAGAGCTGAGCACTATTTTAGGGATATAACTTCAAAGGCTGACATAAGATCTACCCATGACATAGATGTAGTCTCTGCATATCATTTAAATTTGTCTGATGCTGAACTTACAGCAGAAAACACCGTTGCCAAAGATGTACTACATAACATCATTCGACTGTATGTAAGAGTCCGCTCCTTTTCTTTCGCAAAGGATATCATACAGAAGCATAAGGTACAAGCAAAGCAGTTGAAATCCAAAGCGCTACGTAAGGAAATAAGCAGAGCTTGTAAAGAATGA